CCAGGAATTACCCAAATACAGACAGTTTATCAAATGCCCGACCAGAGAGGAGAACACTCTGGATCACTGTTACACCACCGTGCGCGGAGCTTTTCGCGCTGTTCCCAAGCCAGCCCTCGGCTTCTCAGATCACTCCATGATACATCTGGTTCCTGCTTACAGACAGAGACTAAAGCTCTCGAAACCTGCAGTGAGGAGCTCCAAAGTGTGGTCTGATGAAGCTGTGGAAGAGCTGCGCGCATGCATGGAATCTACAGACTGGGACCTTTTCAGAGCTGCCACAGACAGCTTGGATGAATATACGGACACTGTGACGTCATACATCCACTTCTGTGAGGATAGCATCATTCCAACAAGGACCAGGGTCATCTATAACAACGACAAACCCTGGTTCACTGCTAAACTCCGGCAGCTCAGGAAAGCAAAGGAGTCTGCTTTCAGGGAGGGGGACCGCAGCGGCTACAAAGCAGCTAAATATCAGTTCAGGAAAGAACTGAAAGCAGCCAAGTCCCGGCACAGAGAACGACTACAGGAGCAGTTTGGTAACAACGATACTGCTTCTGTCTGGAGGGGCCTACGGGAGATCACCAACTACAAACCCAAAGCCCCCCCCTGTGCTGATGACCACAAGCTAGCTGACGATCTGAACTTATTTTTCAGTCGCTTTGATGCTGCCCCTGACACCTCTCCCTCCCCCACCCCCCACTACTCTAACGACCCACCCATCAGCCCTGCCCCCAGCCTAACAATAGCCGCTAAAGAGATTAGACAACTCTTCCTGAGGCTGCACCCCCACAAAGCTCCTGGCCCGGACCACGTGTCTCCGGCCACTCTGAGACACTGCGCCAGTGAGCTTACTCCTGTGTTCACGGACATTTTCAACTCCTCTCTGCAGTCCTGCCATGTCCCGGCCTGCTTCAAATCCTCCATCATTGTCCCCGTCCCGAAGAAGCCCAGGATCACAGGACTCAATGACTACAGACCTGTAGCACTTACGTCTGTCGTCATGAAGTCATTTGAACGCCTGGTTCTCTCCCATCTCAAGTCCCTCACCTCCCCCCTCCTGGACCCCCTGCAGTTCGCCTACAGAGCCAACAGATCTGTAGACGACGCCATTAACCTGGCCCTCCACCACATCCTACAGCACCTGGACTCCCCGGGGACCTACGCCAGGGTCCTGTTCGTGGACTTCAGCTCTGCCTTCAACACAATCCTGCCATCCCTGCTCCAGGACAAGCTCTCCCAGCTCAACGTGCCCGATTCCACCTGCAGGTGGATCACTGACTTCCTGACGGACAGGAAGCAGCGAGTGCGTCTGGGGAAGAATGTCTCGGACTCTCGGATTATAAATACAGGAGCCCCACAGGGCTGTGTTCTTTCTCCCCTGCTCTTCTCCCTGTACACCAACCACTGCACCTCCAGCCACGACTCCGTGAAGCTGATCAAGTTCGCGGACGACACCACCCTCATTGGACTCATCTCCAACAACGATGAGTCCGCCTACAGGAGGGAGGTGGACCGGCTGGTGTCCTGGTGCAGTGGTAACAACCTGGAGCTGAACGCCCAGAAGACAGTGGAGATGATTGTGGACTTCAGGAAGATCACTGTCCCCCCGCCCCCACCCTCCGTGATGGACTCCCCCATCACCTCTGTGGAGTCCTTCCGTTTCCTGGGCACCACCATCACCCAGGACCTCAAGTGGGAGCCGACCATCAGCTCCCTCATCAAGAAGGCCCAGCAGAGGATGTACTTCCTGCGGCAGCTCAGGAAAGCCAAGCTGCCTGCACAGATGTTGGTGCAGTTCTACACGGCCATCATCGAGTCCATCCTCACCTCCTCCATCACCGTGTGGTTCGCTGGAGCCACAGTCAGGGACAAACAGAGACTACAGCGCATTGTGCGCTCTGCAGAGGAAGTGATCGGCCGCAGCCTTCCATCGCTGCAGGACCTGTACGTCGCCCGAGCTCGAGGCCGGGCTGGTCGTATCACAGCCGACCCCTCTCACCCTGCACATGGACTATTCCAACCACTCCCCTCAGGCAGGAGGCTGCGGTCCATCAGGACTAGAACCTCCCGCCACAAGAACAGTTTCTTCCCCTCTGCTGTTGGACTCTTGAACACTTCTTAACCTGTCCCCCGCCCTTTATAAAGTCACTTTACTGCCCATCATACGTCACTTTACTTCACTGTACTGCTGTCACCTTACATTGTGTGCACCATGTGCACTTGTATATTGTAAATAGTAACTGTAACTCTATTTTAAATTTAAATTTATTCTTTAGAAGTGTTTTTTATTCTTATTTTTATTATCTCTTTTTGACTGTTGCACTGAGCCAAAGCAATTTCCAAGTCTGTGACCTCCCGTTACTTACGTTGGCAATAAAAATGATTCTGATTCTGATTCTGATTCTGATTCTGATTCTGACTTCATATAAAGCAGACTTATTTATGTTTATAGCACATAAACAAAAAAGTTTATCAGAACAATATTATAGGAATTAACTGGATGACAGATTGTTTTAGTAAGCGTTGGAGGACACATCTAATGGAAAAAAATACAAACCAATATTTTTGACTCAAAGACTAGCATATAGCATTATCATAATTCTACTGATAGCACCATGACAGACAATCACATCATCATGGGCGGCACGGTGGCTGAGTGGATAGCACTCTCGCCTCTCAGCAAGAAGGTCCTGGGTTCAAATCCCGGCCGGACCAGGGCCTTTCTGAGTGGAGTTTGCATGTTCTCCCCGTGTCTGCGTAGGTTTCCTCCGGGTGCTCCGGTTTCCCCTACCACTAAAAATATGTCCAATAGTTCTGGCATGCGCCTCCTGTACTGGCCCCGCTCCCATCTCTGTGTGGAGAGGAACATTAACACTTGTAAACCGCTTTGAGACTCAGATCTGCAGTGAAAAGGCGGTATATAAATAAATACTTACTACTTACTTACTTACTATCATGTAAAGTGCTTGGTTGTGGCTTGAACCCAATGACCTAAGGGTTTGTGGTTCAATTAACTTTAGGGTACCCTCACACATTTTTGCATGAAAAACGTGACACAACGCAACCACAAGCCATTGGCCTGTTGTTGCTTATTACATCCTCATTTTCATAATATAAGAGAATATATACTTTACCCTTACAATTCAATGTTCTCCAGGCTTGCGACAATAGCTGCCAATTTTAATCCAACACCACAACTGCTTCAAATTCTCATGTCAAACCTGTCCTCTTCACTTGAGCACAGGTTGCTTGGTTTTTTTTACAAGAGGTGCATGGACTTGAACACGTGCCTGGTAGAATGTCAGGTGGCACCAGCCCAGTAATGCACAAGCCCTCTTTGTAAAGGGCCGGTGCACATCCACAAGGGCCCTCACTCCCCTCACCTTGAAACCAGACTCTCGGGACACGGGAGGGGTGTGGGCCTCAACAAGGAACTGAATGTCGGAGGATTGGCAGGAAGTGTATAGTGGTCAGCCTCCATATGTATGTACAAGGGCAGGAGAAGGGATTACTTTAAGTTTATCAAAAGTGGCTATCCAATTTCAAAACTACTGTACTATCTAAGTGACATTTCTGATCTTAAGTTGATTATAATGTCTTTTTTAATTTGCTTTGATTTTTCCTCTGTGTCTAGGGTATAAAAGAAGCCATAAAACTTGCCACCAGATGCCACCCAAAACTAACCGCACCGTTTTGAGAGTCATACTTTAAATCTAACGCGTGACATCTTGAAAAATCATCCAGGAGCAATAAAAGACTCAAGTGTCATTATGCTATTGTTACAAGCGCAACAGAAGAAAGTCGTAACAGCTAACAAGAGTCATAAAACCTCGGCTATCAGTGCATTTCTTATATCTTTAATAGCTTTCAAGGGAACTGGCTCTTGAATTGACGTCTGTAATATTAGTCTTTTACTAACTGGTTTTCAGGGCGTCTCTCTGGGCCACACAGAGATAATAGATAAACGCAATGTAAAACAAGAACATTTGAATGTGCTTTTAATCTTTGTGGTGCACCTCAGTTTCATTTTCCCAGCTCGCAAAGCACAGACGATTGTGTTGAAAAATTGCCCTTTCACATCACACAAATGTTTTGTCTTACAACATTTTGATTAGGGCCTCTATAAGCTTTACACCACAGACCTTCAATCGTCTTGACTAGAGAAATAAATACATATTCAATTGGTTTAACAGAGCGCAAATGGACATTATAAGTTATATGTGCCATAGATGACAATGTTATAGTCCTCTGTACCTCAATATTGTTAAACTGATGCAATACATGAACAAAATCGCCCCCCTGCAAATCATAACTACATTTTAAACTTTCATTTACAAGTCAGAAGCGCCTCACAAAACTTCAAATACGTCTTGCCACTTTAAATCTTTAAAACCCAAGCCAGCCCAGTATCCAGTACATAGCACCCTTCTCCCCAGCAGACACCAATTACTCCCAGTCATAAACAAGAACGTCCAAACAGACAGTGGCACAAAGCTCTCCAACTCCTCTGTGCCAAGGACGCCTCCAGGGAGAAACACATGTTCAGTCGCCTGGGGGTATAGACACAGTAGATCCACCCCGTTTTGTCATTAATGGACTCACTTTCTTTAAATGAAGGTCAAATTCACTCGCCTTAATTGTCTCGCACACAATGCCTCGGGTTCGCCTATCTTTGCACTCTTTTTAAAAAACCTGTTTGATTTCAGTCTGAGATGTGCGGCTCGGGGCATCACGCCAGACAACAAAAGAAAATAGAAATCTTTCCATTTTGGATGAGACAAGACCGCACAATGTTGCTTCCTACTCCTGCTTATGGGGATGAATCAGTCTGCCGCGTGCTCCCGAGCGTGAGACAGCCAGTGTGTAAGAGAGCCTCCACTCCTTTGTGTCTATATGAGCTGTCTGCCAGACGTCTGAGCCAGAGCGCATGGTATACCGGCATTCACTCCACAAGCCCCGTTCTCTCCTCTCCCACTACATAAATTCAACCTTACCTTGTATTTCTGCCAATGATGAGCGTAGAAATCCAAAAAAGGTGACCCCAAGTATCAGATTCCACATCCTTGCAAAGTGTTGGATCTGGCTGGAAAGAGGGAAGTGTGTTGTAAAGCAGGGAAAGAGCAACCTGTGGGCACTGAGTTACCGTGGCAGCAGCTGCAACAACTGACTGACTTTTTTGTTTTTTTATTATTCAAGGGCTAAGTTTGCTATCCTCTGCTTCTCTCGGCTTGCAATGGCACAGCGCATGGCAGCTTACAGAAGCGGATACACACATACACACACTTATCCAGAGTTGCCACACCCCCTCCACCCATAGCCCCACCTCACAACTGTGCATGTCTCTCTATGCACACTTGAAACATGGATAAGAAGGTGATCTCTCCCTCCATTCCTTCCATCGCTTCCTCTTTTCACGCACCCCGCAGTTTTCAGGAGCCCATCTGGTGCCTTTGTTTGATTTTCAATTCATCCGATTTTTTTTTGTTGCTTACCCCTTTACAGCTCTGGTCTTATGTCTGGAAGAGCGCTTACTTGAGATGTGTGTCAGCGTGATCCGCCGGCACCAATTCACTGAGGTCACATCCATTTCAAGCCGACAAGGCTTTGAGTCGACTGAGAACACATTGATAAAAAGAGTGAAAAGGCTTTTCTTGTGATTACCTTTATGGACGTGGCATGAGAAAGTCTTGTAATGTGTGTAGTGGTGCATATAGAAAAGTGTGGCTCTTTGAAGTTGGATCAAAGTTGAGTAATGATTCCACGGCAAATAATATAATTAGAATAGCTGACCAGTCCCATCAAAAAGTAATAGCAGTCAACTTGTTTTTTGACCAATTTTTTTACACAAAGCCAAAAAGCAAGTAATAGCTAGAAAGTGCACTTGAGATCACATACCTTCCCCAACAACACAAAGTATCTCAAAAATGTTTTGAACTTCTGCCATTACATCTCCTCTACAAATTTCAGATCAATCTCTCCAGTTTTTGTGCAATCCTTCTTACCAAATACACACATGGACACTGAAGTGCCGAGCCGACAAGATGAAGAGTGATTGTTCCAAATTGAGGCGGTGATGGGGAGGAGGGTTGCTGCACGAGCTCTGGAATGCAAGCTACTGTTTAAACACAGCAGGTGAAGCAGATGCTGATTGGCAGAGGCACAGGTGTTAAGATGTGGGAAAATGACTATGGGATAAATTCAGTCTGCCAGTCTGAACAGCCGCTAGACAGTATCTCTGTAGTTATCTCATATACAGGGGACATAACTTGCGCAACATGCTAACAACCATGCTGTTTTGAATTTCCACCATGACAGTCTCAGTACGTTCGACTCCAGCAGGTGACCCAAGCACTCACATGAGTCCCAGCATGAATAAGAGAGCGCTTGTCTCAATGTTTGTCACATGTGATTATGTAACATCCCGTCAACAAGAGCGATTTATAAGAAACCAGAAACATACAACCCTGTGTAACCTGGGGACTTCCTGACTTATACCCGCCACAAAAAATGTCAAAAGACTAAGTGTGTGTAGTCATGGGAACTGGATCCAAGTCGACTGACATAACCCTCGAAAACACGCTTCAGTTTCACAAAATAGATGGGTCACAGAAGTCTCAAAATTTGACTTTTTTTGTTTCAGACAAGATGATATCAAATGGAGAAAGGTAACTTCAGTTTTTTTCATGAACAGCTTCCAAAGGCTATTGGTGGAAGCATTTTTTTAGGACCTGAAATGATTAATGCATCGGTTTCGTATAGCGCTTTCTCAATACACAATGGTGATAAACTACTACAGTAGCCACAGATGCCCTGGGGCAGACTGACAGATGCCATGCGCCTCCATCCACCGCCAACCATTCACGCACAAACACACCAGACTCATTCTAGGCAATGTGGGTGAAGTGTCTTGTCTAAGGACTCGAGGGCAGGTTGGGATTGTGTCACAGATGTCTCCCATTACAGTACTAACCAGACACTGCCCTGCTTAGCTTGAGAGATCTGGGATGGGATCAAGCTTTCACATGCAGGTGGTGTCATATCCTCATTTAGCTTATTTATGGTATTATTTTGTAATTTTTTTTAAATGTTTGTCACATTATTGAACAAGAACAGTGTCAGTATCGATACTTGAGAATTGATCATCATCACTCATGCTTCATCATTCATCCATGTCAACAATGTGATCTCTGACATTATTACAGGTGTTCGTCTTAAAGTTTATAAATAACAGAGCAGGAACCGTCAAACAATAGTCTCCCAGTGGAGGAGCCCCATGACTTCCCTGAGCTCACTCTCAAATCTGATTCCATTGTGTTAAAATTGAATTGTACAAGTCATAATTGTCCCCATTCTCTTTTTTGTTTGAATCCATCATAATATAGTCATTTACATATGAACATGAATGGACGTGTCCCATGTGAAGTTGAGTTAGGATATTCTAATTGTGAAAAATGGACATCTTAAAACATACATGTGTGGCTCAGTGGTTAGCACTTTGATTCCACCTCCAGACACGGCCAATCTATGTGGAATTTGCATACAACTGAGGGATTTGATATTTTTATGTTTATTTTTAATGTACTGTGATTATTTATTTTAATTTTATTATTTTATTTGGTAACACTTTAAAATAACTAAACCTTATTTAGGCTTGATAAGCGTTGAAATAGGGCGACAGTGGCTCAGTTGGAAGAGCATTGGTCTTTGGCCTGAAGGTTTTGTTTTCGAGCCCACCACAAGACCTACTTCATGACTCCCACTGATGACTGCTGTCGTTGTGTCCTTGGGCAAGACACTTAACCCCACTTTGCCTGCAGCCCCCACTGAAAGATCAAGGCTCTTGTGGACTCACCACCTGCAGGAGGATCAGTGAGGGGCTGGTGCTCTGTGTACTGGGTGCAGCTCTGACTGCCACCCCCCCAACCCAGAAATGGATTATGGGGAAGAAAATGGATGGATGAAATGTTGAAATAACACTTGATTTATTATGAACAATTCATGAATTAAGTGTGACCAACACTTGATAACTACTACAGTTAATAAATGCTTAACTCATAATGAATACATCTTTAAGTACTTCACTTGTTCATGATTATTTAATAATTTAATAGTATTAATACATGATTAATTGTCACATTGAAGGGTTTAAAAAAAATGTAATAAAGTGTAAATAGTGTACACTTTACAAAAGCTCACAAAAACTCTTAACTGTTAGTAACTGACTGAATAAATCATGCACTGCAGTATTAGTTTATAATCAAGTGTAGAATTATTAATAATGAACATGTGGTTTAATCGTGGTGTAACAAACCATCTATGGTAGTAATAAATGGTTACTTCATGATTATAAAATTATTAAATAATATTGAAAAAGTTAAGTACTTGAAGATGTATTCATTATGAGTTAAGCATGTATTAACTACAATGGCTAAGTAATTATTAAGTGTTGATCACAATGAATGAATGAATTGTTCATGATTAACAAATGATTATTTAAACATTTATTAAGCCTAAATAAGGTGAAGCGTTACCTTTTATTTTATTTCAATGCTATTTTGTCTTGGGCAGTACTTTGAGTTGCCTTGTGTTATACAAATAAACTTGCCTTGCCTTTATTCGTCCCACAGCGGGGAAATTTGAATATAGATAACTACTTACTGACTTACTTTTACACATTCAGAACATACTTCATCTTGCCGCAGATTTTGGACGTGACTTTTGACGCCCAGAGGAAGTCATTCACAGTTTGCTCAGTTTGGAGTCTTGTCATGGCTTCCTGTCACAGCTGTTGTTATGGCGATGTTTATTTATTTCATTGCAGTGGCAGCATGAGCAGCAAGAGTCATCACACAGAGAGGCACCAGCATGAGCGAGATTGAAACGCGACCAAAAACAAACAAACCAATGAATAAAAACGACACAGCAATTCTCATCCTTTTCCCAGTTTGGACCTACCAAAAACAGATAGAATACTGTTTTTTTGAATGGCTCGCTTTTATTATTTTGTATTATTTAATATGTGTATTAAACAATGCATATGTTTTTTTTTTTTTTTTTTTTTTTACATTATGTTAAAGATTAAGTACCTAATACTTTTTTTTTCATAAATAATAGATCCCCGCTTGTCCCATGTAGTGGTCTTCAGCTTGTTAGAAAACATTAGAAAACATATTTTGCATACTTGGAAGAAAGAGCCTTATGAGTCACTAATCAACGCTTTGGGATGAGAGCTGATTGGCTGAGCAAGAACGGTCCTATTGTTTACTTTTCTGTCTTAAAAAAATGATCTAAGAATGTAACAGAGGGAAAAATTTGAAAAGTTATGATGGTACCTGTCTGTCTTAAGAGCTAAAGAGACAGTTAAATGCTCTTAACTGTCTTAAGAGCATTTTGGTTGGATAGGTTGTACCACTGGATATAAATATTTGTGGTTTAAAAGTCAGATATCTCAGCTTTAATTATATACTTTAAATCTATTCCAATTCAGATTAAAAATGCACTGTGTAGGAAATGGGCAGCAAACAGGAACCAAAAAACAGGAACCAAAAAAACGTGAGGACGCTTCTCAGATTTCAGCTTCTTTGCACTGGCTTCCTGTTCATTTTCTATTGTTTGTTTTTAAATCCATGAATGGACTGGCCCCACAGTATATATAGGACCTCATCCAATTCTACCATTCCCTCCCCAGGACCCACTGAGGTCCGAGGGCCAGCTATGTATATTTGTGTTTCTATTCTATTCTATTTGTATGTACATATGAAACTGGTAGGCCTGTATATTTTAATATTTCCCTATTGTCTCTGCGCAGCACTTCAGGAACTTGTTTTTCGTAATAACACATGCTATAAACTATTAAAATAAAGTGGAGTACCTGCTTATTTTTCCCATGGGTGTGTGCCCCAGTAAAATATTGTACAGTTTAGTTCATTAATAATGATAATAAAGGTAAAGGTGCAGTTTATAAATCCTTGTAGAGCAATTCAATCCTCTGCATTTGACCCATCCTGATGCCACGAAGGCTTACGTGAGGAGCACTGGTTGCCGTAGTAACAGCGCCCGGG